CCGTGATATCAGTTGTAATGACTTGCGGCGCGAGGATATTGGAAAGACTGTGACGCTTGTAGGCTGGATACCACCATCAAAAACATGCAAATTTTTACAATTGAAAGATGGTTATGGACAGACGCAAATTATTGTGGAAGAGCAAGCGGTATGCTATTCGCTCTATTTATTTATTTGATACAGTAAGCTTAATTTTTTTGTTTTGCAGATGCAAGACACTTGCCTCTCAGCACCAGAGGGCACGGTAATACAAGTCACCGGCAAAGTTTTGGGCAGACCGCGCGCCAACATCAATTTGGTATGTCTGATTTTGTTGAAAATAGTGACTCGATAACCAATATTGTAATTTAGAAATATGACACCGGCGAGGTAGAAGTTATGGTCGATAGTGTTAAGATCTTGAATCCTGACGATCCCTATGATGGACCCATTAAAAGCAAAGAGAAGGTGCAGAAATTGTCGATCGATGACTTGGAGTCTGATGCTACTTCCAAAAATGGGAATGCCGCTGTTGGTGCTGTCAGCAAAATTGAAAAAGCCAAAATTGCCGATTTGAACAAATTTGCTGGGCGCACGCACACTTGCGGTGAATTAAGCATAGATAATATTAATGAGAAAGTGACCATCTGTGGTTGGCTGGAATTCCAACGTATGGGTAAATTCTTCATACTGCGTGACGGTTATGGGCAAACGCAAGTGTTGATCACGCCTAAAGCCAAAGGCGTGGAAAATTATGCCGAAGGTTTTTCATTAGAGTCAATTATACGTGTTGAAGGTACGGTTATACCGCGACCTGCTTCCACCATAAATAGTAACATGAAAACTGGTCATATTGAAATTGAGGCAGAAACGGTGGAGGTGCTCAATGCAGCTAAGAAAAATTTGCCCTTTGAGGTGCGGCGTTACAATCGTGCTGGCGAGCGTTTGCGTCTGACACATCGTTACCTGGATTTGAGGTAAATGTGAAGATGCGTATATTTACACAAACAACGTATCAAGTTTCTTTTTATTTATTTCTTCCTACAGATTCACCGATATGCAAAATAATTTACGCACGCGTTCCGCTGTGATTATGCGTATGCGTGAATATCTTATCAACTATTTGGGTTTTGTTGAAGTCGAGACGCCTACATTATTCCGTCGCACTCCTGGTGGGGCACAGGAATTTGTTGTGCCCACACGCAAGCCCGGTCACTTCTATTCATTGGTGCAAAGTCCACAGCAATTTAAGCAAATGTTAATGGCTGGGGCAATAGATCGCTACTTCCAAGTTGCACGTTGCTATCGCGACGAGGCCACACGTCCTGATCGTCAGCCAGAATTTACACAGCTCGATATTGAATTGTCCTTTACAACGCGCGAAGATGTCATGCAGCTGATCGAGGAGGTGTTGCGCTATTCGTGGCCAAAGCAATTTCCACCCATACAGACGCCTTTCCGGCGCATCACCTACGAGGAAGCCATGGAAAAGTATGGTACCGATAAGCCTGATACACGCTTTGGTTTCACTGTGAGTTGTGAAAATTAATTTTTGTTTTCAACAAAATGCAATTTATTATTCGAAATTCTAGATGACCAATGTCACCGAAATTATTGAGAAAAACGAGACCTTTGCGCAGAAGTACAATGACCTAGCCGCCTATGCAATAGTGGTGCGTGGCACTGATGCTGTTTGGAGCAATGCTACGCGTAAACGTTACGAGAGTCTCAGCAAGGAATTCAGCTGCACACTATTTGTGCGCAAATTTCTAGTAAGTTATTGCGCCGGTCGATAATCTTTTCTTAATGCACTAATCTAATTGACCCACTACAGGAATACAAAGATGTGCTAGAACGTTTAACAAATTTCCTGACCAACGATGTGGCACGTGAGCTGATTGAGAAATTTGTTTTGGAAGAAAACGATTTAATATTTCTTGGCATAGGCGAAATGCGCGCAGTGGTATGTATGGTTTGGGTGTGCTGTGCCACCACATTAGAATTGTATAACTAACTCACCTAAACCCATTTTCGCAGCGTGCACTTATGGGTCGCATACGCCTCGAATACCATGCCTTCCAATTGGAGAATACAAAGCGTGAGAAGAGGGAAAATAAATTCTGTTGGGTGGTAGATTTTCCCATGTTTGAGCGCAATCCGGAAACGAATGAATTGGAGAGCGTGCACCATCCATTCACAGCGCCACATCCTGATGATATGCAAAAATTCATGAACGCCAAGGAAGGTGAACTTGAAGAGGTGCGTTCACAAGCCTACGATTTGGTACTCAACGGGCAGGAGGTTGGCGGCGGTTCGATACGTATACACGATCGCGATATGCAACATTTTGTGCTCGAGCACATACTGAAAATACCGCATGAGCATTTGGGTCATTTGTTGAGCGCTCTGGAGTCTGGTTGTCCACCGCATGGCGGCATTGCACTTGGACTCGATCGTCTAATTGCGATCATTTGTCGCGCTCGCACAATGCGTGATGTTATTGCATTCCCTAAGTCATTGAATGGAGTTGACCCGCTCTCGAATGCGCCAGTACCGATTTCGGATGAAGAGAAAGCGCTCTATCATTTGGCTGTAATTGAGGATGAGAGCCAATCAACAGAGCATGCTGTTGAGGATGATGATCCGGACGCAGGGCGTGCAACGCCATCACCGGAACCAACCGATGGCATGGTGGTGGATGGTGATGGAGATGTTAATGCGGATGCGGATGTCAAACCTTCTATTAGTGATGCTGAAGTGACTGTTGTGAAGGAAGAGAAATTGGATACTCCTGAAAAAATTCAACCAGCTGCGAAAGCTGCGGCAGCACCCACTAAAGCTGCTGATAAAACAGCCACTCCAGCAAGAGCTAAGCGGGTGGTAGCAGCAGTTGGCAAAAAGAAGTAAATTTAATTGATGTACATACATACATGCATGCTTTGCCTAACCATGCGCCAAGTCCTTGCGCGGAATTATATCTTTACGTTATTTATATTCTAATAGACTTATTCATAAAAAATAAAGCAGCTTTAAAAAATATTTATAAATTGGAAAATGTATGAAAACGTCATTTTATAAAGCGTTTTAAACCTACTTAATTTTTTATGAACAAGGCCATAAGTATTTACTAATCCTTAACTTCAAAAGAACGTTGTTGTGGCATAGTCATTTAAAGCTAAACTTTTTCGCAATAGATCAATAAGAATTTCGACTTGGTGTGCATGTCTGACGCACATGTTGGAAATGTTTTTTACAATTATTTAGCGTAGCAAACATTTTTATTTTAAGTGAATTTCTTCATGCACTCGAACCATCAAATCAAAATGGCTTTAACAAAATGACACAGCATTTGCTTATTTTATTAATTAATATAACAAAGCATCGCTTAAATATAAGAGAAATTATAATGAAGACAACAATAAAATTATTTGAACAAAATTCTAAATGTTTGGTGTCATAATTGTCAATTCTCTGACCAATATTAAATAGTCGAATCTAGCTGTTTTTATAACCTCAGCAATCATTGCCTATGTAGTCTGCCATCGGACCTACAAATAGCGAAAAGGTCTGACAGGACAATTCTGGCAACTGTCTTTACACTCACAACAGTCTTCCAATTCTGGCAACTATCCTGACAGCATTTTACAGCCTTTCGAAAGACTAATTGAAAGATTTGCTGTCGAGGAGGTCTTAGCGTTATTCTGTTCTTCTTTAGCAATAAAACAGTAAAAACTATTAATAAAAAAAAAATAAATAAATTAAAAAAAAAAATTTAAATTAAAAAAAAAAATTAAATTAAAAAAAAAATTAAATTAAAAAAAAATTAAATTAAAAAGGAAAAAGGAAAAGGAGCGGTATAGCGCTCCCTCTGGCCACGGCTCGATGAATAAAGAACACGGAGTTTGCTAAGGCTCTCAAGGTCAAATATTAGGCTACAGTTATACCAACAGGACACTGGCTTTTTAGCCACATGGCCGCCAGGTTCGGAGTCCCATACAGGGATTTCTTCAGAATCTTTGCCAGTGTTCTGCGCTCAGGACAAAGAGCCTCAAATTTCTGGGATGCCACTTTTTCGCGCGCCTAGACAGCTTGTAAGATCTATTGTACCCTCTTGCCCCTTACCGCACCTCGCTCATTCCAAACTCCCTTAAGAAGTCCAAAAGGCTATTAGGTGGCATCAAGTGTATGTGATTCGGCAGCGGGCTTAATACTCGAAGGTACTTTTCTTGCCTACACGCCACTGCGGCGCATACGTGAAGTATGCCCTTAGAAGTCTCAGCTGCCCTGCCACAGAACCGTAATACATTGTAGGGCCAGGTGCCGAGTTTACGCAGGTGACTTCTTAATCTGCAACGACCAGCTAAGGTACCTATTAGAATTCTTAGTTTGTATTTTAGCAGGTTAATAAGATTCTCATATCTTTTTCTATGGTTTCCTCCCAGTAGCTTCTTTGCCTGTCGCAGCCCAATGCTCGACTAGTTCTCCTTTCTCTACTAAGCTCTTCTCTAATGGTGTGTGGTTCTACCACAAATAAGAGCTCGGGCCTCTTGGTGGTATTGCTGCCGTCCTCCTGTCAAGCATGTCTGTCTCCTGATTAACCTCTGGACCGCCATTCTCTTGGATTAGCAGTCGGCATAATCAACGGACACTGCCTAATGGGCACGCACGGAAGAAGGTTTGGATACCCCACCAATGATTTTTGTCACAGTTGCACAGACGAGAAAGAATATTATCTCTGACACTGTCCCGCCCTAACCAAAACGCCCAACCAATTCTTTAACAAGTACTTTTAAAATTTTTTAGCCGTTATTTTATGCACGGCTTTCGCGTCTCATAGCTTTTCCGACTTTTCGGAATAGGTAAATAATGAAATGAAATACCTTTCAAATCAATAGTTTTTTACAGATCCCGTCTGTGGATAATTCACTGTAGGTATTCACATTTTTTAACCTAACCTAACCTAATGACTCTCGCGGTCGCTAGAAAAAGACAAACAAATCGGAGGGAGCTGTGGCCAGAAGCTACGTACATTCACTCGCTGACACCACTGAAACTATTTGAATTTATTAGGGCTTTAAGGTTAGACGAGGTTTTGCGTACTATGGTCTCCACGCACATCTTCCATTATACGAGTATCTTCATTTCATCAAACGATTTTATGTTTCCATACTCACCACAGTCCCACAACATTTTTCGCCCTTCATAGCTCTAATAAATATCAATCTAAAAATATGAACCTTTCCATTTTTTATCACTTTATTTCATTTACTCGCGGTTGTCTACTTATTTTCTTCCCCTTCAGCTCTTCACCTTCAATATGAGGCACTTTGAAAATACTATTCTCTATATAACCATTAGTTAAATTTCGTCGATATTCATGCCACGCCACCTGAGTTTCTTTCTCATTTTTCGTCTCCTCAAAACTTTGTTCCTCCACAGAATTCACCCCCTGCTCCACCTTTGCATTCTCCAAATTTTCGGTTATATCACGCGTGCCAACGCCACTAAAATACGTCCAATTTTCACCGTTGGGAGCCTGTGAAAATGGCGTTGGCGTTTGTTCAATATTATTGAAACTCGTATCCAATTTATTCCATTGATCGATTTGACGCAACAATGGATCCTGGAAACCTGCTGGCGGCGGTAAAGTAATGGTAATTGGCGCTCTAGTGATGCTCGGTTTTTGTTTGCCCAACGTTGGCAAGTCAGTCCATTTGCCTAAAGCATAAGGTGCTGTATCATTGGTCTCGACAAAAAACATACCCTTCGTGCTGGGTTTTATATCTTCGCCTGCCTCGAGCAGATAATTGGTTGGCGGACACATACCGAGCAAGTAGGAGATGTACGAACTGCAAGCCCAACCCCAGAAACCTTTGCGTGAGCTTATCGATTCTTGGAAATATTCAACGGCGCGTTGATGACTGCAGCCAAAAGGGTCTGTGTGTGGAGAAAAATTGTGGATTTTCGTTATTCATAAAATATGTACTTACTTAACTTGTCCTAAGTATTGAGCTACTCACTTGTACCCGCCTTATTGCAGCCGGGTTGCATAATCCCGCCATTCATGTAGAAATCCGCGTGTCCACAACGTTCTATTTTACCCTGCACGAAGGCATTCGTATGTATCACGTCTACATAGACAGCATCGCTGGGATCCAACTTATCATCGATGCCAGCAGTGATAAAAAGCGGCATAGCGGGATCGAGACCTAAAAATTGCGGGTTAAATGAAAAATTATTAATTGGATATGAAAAGAGGAGTCAGAATGCGTCCAAACTCAAGCGTCATTACAACCAACTGAAACCAGATAACCTGTGAACTATTTAGGCGGAGAAAAAATTAGTAGGCCTCAAGCTTCCAATGCTTATAAGAGTCAACTTATGGACTAAGAACTAATTGCATGAATTCACGTCTATATGAAGATAAACCACCCTAATGCAGTTTTGCGCAGTATCGAAGACCTTACAGAAAGCGAGTCAGTCTGAGCCTTGCCGTTTATTATCGGTTAACTAAATGTTGTTCTCTTAGCTTTGTTCACAAGAACGCTTCAAAACCAAAACGGAAATGAGAACAAAACTGTTGAGAATGTTCTCAATGGAAATTATATGAGAACAAAACCCTGTGGAACGCTCTCAAAGAGAACAAAATAATTTGGGGAAATTTTCTAAGAGAACGAAATGGGAACAGAAGTCTCTGGAATGTTTTGGCAAAGAACAAAACGGGAACAAAAGTCCAAGGAATTTTCTCTCGAAGTACATAGCCTGTTCTCGTACTTCACGATTTGCATGAATTGCAGGTTTTACAGGAACAGCTGTTTTCGCCTTCAATAAACCTTATGTGAACGTGGCGTACGGGAACGACTTTGGACTAAATCCTGCGAATCGTAGACGTTCTGGAACGCACTAACAATTAGGCAAATTAAGTCTCAGGAACTTTCTGACAGAGAACGAAACGGGAAGAAATCTTCTCAGAACTATTCGCGAAGAAATTCCTATTTAATGCTTTACAGGTCCTTTCGATTCCCAGTACCCCGCTTGGAAAATGCTAGAAAAGTTTGGTAATAGGAACAAGAGAGAAACATTCAACGTTTCAGAGAACACATTTGCACCAACATAGCAGTCCATTTTGGACCGGTTAGTATACAATACCACTATGACCATACCGCAGCGTCCTCCAGGAGCCTGACTCCTTGTGTCTGACTGCCGAGGACGCAGCAGTTTCGCGAATATGGAGTTCTATGGTCAGTTGATACAGGATCACATTAAGCGTATCAGATGGTCTCGACTTAATTGCTCCTGCAGAACTTGCACTAGCTGCTCTTTGTATACTGCCTAATTTCCTGACTTTATATTGTTTATCTAGTGCTGAACCTCATTAGTTCTGCCTCCGATATTTGAGCCAGTCTCGCGAAGAACCGTTCCTTCAAGTGTAACAAAGCTTCACGTCAGACCAATGAAAGGTGATAGACCTATGAATCCCTATGTAGCCGCTATTTTGGCGATAATATTTGCCACTTCATTGTCCATGACTCCATTGTACTCCGGTTCCCAAATGAGATAAGTCGGGTTCTTGGATGCATTGAGTAGTAAGATCAATGTCACCCCTGCTTTGATGTCACCTCATGTAGTTTCAGAGCGAGGAGCGCCCCTCTTGTTTTGCCTTAAAGAGAGAGTTAACTTGCCCTATGTTAGTGAAAAAAAGCCCGTAGGCACTTTTGGAGCCTTCAATGTGGCGAGTCTTCAGGGGATTCGTTCTATAATAACTCAATATAGTAGTATGTTCGGTTGCTTCCTCAAACCCGGTTGTCATTGCCGTGCAAAGTAGATATACTAAGTACGAGCACTTACCCGTTATTCGCGGAAGCTCAAATGAGCCCAAATTTCGCGCAACATAATTCGACAATTGCGCACCCAGCGAGAAACCTATGACATGCATATCGGTAGTACCCATTTCAAGAATGCGCTCCACAAGCTGTGCCACACAGGCGCCCACATGTTTGGTATTATGGACGGCACTCAAATAACAGGGGCCTGGCGCCAATATAGCCCAATCCACATAGATAATATTGTATTCATCACGCATTAAGTATTCTAGAACGTCGAGAGAGAGAGAGAAAGTGTGAGAGAGAGATAGAGAGAGAAATCACGAATTAGTTGAAAAATACGAGTAGTAAGAGTTGAAGCTGCTCACCTTGCCGCATGCGCTGCAGTGTACCCATAAACATATCCGCATTGTAACCATGTATGATGATTTTTGTCTGATAACGTGGATTAAAATTCGAATTTGTTAAGTTCGACTTGTCCAGCGTTTCATCGATGTGCAAACATTGCCGATCTACAGGATTACGACGCGTATACAAGTAGAAGCGTACATCCTTGTCGGGACATTTGCGTTCGATAACCCAACGACAGGGACCGATTACTATATCGCGTGCTGATGCTTCCGTTGTTGTTGTTGTTATTGTTTGTGGCAGTTGTGTGGTTGTCGTTGATGTGGCGTCGATGCCGAACGGATATGGTTGGCCATAATTGAAAATTGATTTAGCTTGTGTATAAGGTAGTACGAGAATGACTGCGTGGGGGATAATTACGATACAAATGTTAAGTATATATTTAGAAGCAGTGATTGTTAGTAGAGATAAGTTATGCATATATAAATTGCATAGGTTTAAAATTTTACCTAAAATCCATAAGATCCTTGATAGGTTTGAAAGCCTCGTTGTATATATCTGCGTTGATGTTTTGTACATTTTTTTGCTATACTACTTTTTTTATTAATTATTATCACAATATTCACTTTGTGTTCTATATATTATAAAACTAAATTCATTTTGCATCCACTGATTGACCACAAACTTCTACGTAACTCTCACCTTTGGAACCAAGTATGTAGATACAGACTTTTTAACTTCCGATATTATTCCTAGTTAAATTATGTCAATGAGATCTTCTAAACTCTTCGTGCCGCTTTTTAAGATTCTTAACGTGGTTTCTCATCTGAAGCATGGTACAATAATTACAGGTATTGTCTTCCCAAAGAGTTTTGTTTCACATCGAAATTCGTGCTCCCTTATTTTCATTTTGACGCAGTCCAATGTTGATTCTTTTACTTTTATTTGGCTTTGCTTTTTGTTTTCGCTCAATTTAATTTTTATAATTTTTCAAAACAAAAGAAAAAACGATTGAAATTAAGTGAGCCATACACATTTTTTTTATTTACGAGCAAATGTTTTATCCCAATGACAATACCTGTCATTATTGTACCGTGGTACACAAGATAGGTTGAAAAAAAATTTCCATCTGGCAAGCAAGTCTTACAAAAAAAAGCTCCCTTTCCAACTTCATGGTGCAGAGGTTTCTCTTTTGACAGAAAGTACTTGAGCAAGTTCCAAATGGAGATGTATGTATATCATTTTGCTCGCACTGCTCCAACAGTCGCAATGTTCGAATGAGCAAAGCACTAGCGTGTCATTCAAGAAATCCGAGGTTGGAATCCTTGGCCAGCAAAACTATTTTAAATTGTTATTTTATATTAAATTTTATTCTAATTTTTGTTGTTTAAAAATAAAAATATATTTTTAATTTAATTAAATTTAAAACTTTTTTTTTAATTTTTAATTTTTAATTTAATTTTAAGATTTTATTATTTTAAAGATATTTTTTTGGGTACTGTTTAGTAAGTGGCCCACCTATTTCGGGGTATTGCGTCCAAAGGGGTGACCCGATCCAAAAAAAAATTGCACACACTTGTAGCCAAGGGTCTACCCATTATTTTAACATCCACTATTGTAATTTTGGGTCACTAATTTATTTACAAATTGGGTTTGAAATATGCCCTTTTTTGTAAAATTCGGAAATTAGCGTAAATTTATCACTCCTATTCTCCTTAAAGCAGCTACATCAGCAATATATTTTTATATTCTCCTTCACTTTACACTTTACTCGATGAGCTATAACTTTCTTTATAACTTTAATATTAACCAATTAATCACAATTTATTAAATAAAAACACCTTCTAAATCATGCGTCTGACTTTTGTTGCATATGCAAATTAAATGGCGTAGTTCAGCTGTCAAACTCCAAAATATGCAAAAGAATGAGAGACAAAAGAAAATAGGATATAACCCTGTAAGCATTAAAAATATACAAAGGTGTTCTCTGTAAAAGGTATTCAGCTCCTTTTCTTCGCAAAACAGAAAGGAGAATTCTACTGCCTGAGGGTTATAATCCCTAAGTGCGGCCGAAGGCCGCCTACGCAGAAAGGTGTTCTCTGCAAAAGGTGTTCAGCCCCCCTTCTTTGGCTACACAGAAAGGAGAATTCTACTGCCTGAGGGTTATAATCCCTAAGTGGTGCTTTTCGTAAAGTGGTGACTGGCCCCTTTCGAATGAGGGGGGTTTGGGGGGCCACGCCCCCTCCCCCTCCGCCCCCCCACCCCAAAAACGATGGGCCAATAACTAAACATTTCCCATTTTTTTTAATTGCATTTAATTTTTGGGGAAATAATTTTCTTTTCTTCTTTTTTTGATAAATTTTTTTTTTTATAAAATTTTTTTAGTTTTTAAATTTTATTGTTTTAAAAAGAAAAATATATATTTTTTTTTAATTTCATCTAATTTTTAGGAACATATTTTTGATTTTTTTTTTTAATTTAACTCACTCTTTTTAAATTTCAAGAATTTCATGTTTTAAAAATTAATTATTTTATCTAATTTAATTTTTAGGAAACATTGGCCCGTAGTTATAGTCAAAATAAAGTCGACTCTAAAGTTAAAAGCAGCTTTTTGACATAACTTTCAATAGCTGTCAAAAAAAGCTTACTCTTACTTTAGAGTCGACTTTATTTTGACTATAACCTCGGACCTTTGTATTTTCTAAATTTAGAAACATATTGTTTTTAATTGAATTAAATGTTTATGTACTTATTTAACTTTTCTCTTGTTTTAAATAAATTTGTTTTTTTTTTAATTAAATATTTCTTTAGTAAACCTTTAAATATTGCCCTATTTATGTATGGCTCCAAAGCTAACTCTGTGTCAGGATCTTAGGCCCATAGAAAAGTTAACGATGACAAGCTTTATTTCTCTCTTTGAGAATATGTACCCGAGCTACATATGTAGAATATGTAACCCCAAGCTAATAGCCTTCGTTAACGGAGAGGTGGTACTTAGGTGTATGCAGTGAAATCCAAAGTGTACGCAAGGCATTGGCGACACTTTAATTACATTTAAAATCTGGACTCTGTTTGGTTGTTCCTTGAATCCACTTCTGGTTTCTTCGATCATCGATATCTCCATAACTTATGCCACGTACATTCAATGTCAGAAAGTCATTGGACATTTTTTGTGCTAAAAAGAACTGACTTTAAACAGCTAAAGGCATACCTAACAACCCTGATTACCTATCCTGCCTTGAAGAGGGTGACATAGCAGGACACTTTTTGTGCCTCAGTTCCACTTTAGTTATGTAAATATTGGGGAATACCTTGGTTCTTTGATGTGCGATAATCTTTTATGGTTTGTTCATAAACCAGGTTAGGCAGGGTTAGCTTGGCCGATCGACAAGATCTGACTTATGTACACTGGTTACTCGCTTCTATGGCTGCCAAGAGGTTGGAGGTGTAACCTTTCATGTCTTAAGTTTAATGCATATTTTTGAGAGCTGCAACGAACTGCTAGTTTTTTTGGCCGCAATATCCGCCAGCGAGGAGACGACGCAACGAAAAGGTGGCTAAATCCCGAACTACAAAAAGGCTGAAAATGGCAAAGAAGGTGGCCGAGTGTATCTCTAGCATTATGCTTGATATAATACCCCGTAAGTAAAATTTTTTGTTCGCTTACGCTTTTGCTAAGTGCTTGGCCGACCTTCTCCTCCAATTTGTGATGTGCGTCTTGATGTTATAAAGCAAATGGAGGCACCTACATACTATTTCACGCGTCGCCTCCAAACGGCAAATGGTTTTTTATGGAAAGCTTTTTCAAGGCAAAAACACCTTCGGAGATTTGCCATTGCCTACCGATGGACAACCGCTGCTACAAAAAAAGGTGTGTGCGTCAGGTACTTTGCAAGTTTGATGTGTAAACTTTAAACTATTTCGGTGAAAAATCAGGACTATTTCAGGATGATTTTGTGACTACTTTCGGGCTACCCCGAACTTGATCCCAAACTGAGTCTCAAAATTGTCCTGAAAAAGTCATGAGCTTCTCCCAAAGGATCTAGAACAAGTCTTGAAGTGGGCCTGAAATGGTCCCTTGCTCGACCCAAAATGATCCCGAACTATACCCGAAATAATCCTAAAACCGGCCCCGAAATAGTCCTGAACTACGGTAAAATATTCAAGGACTACTTCCGAAATGATCCTGAAATAGTTTCGAAATGGTCCTAAAATATTTCTGATTAGGTTGGGAAATAATCCCGAAATGATAACAAACTAGTCGCGAAATGGTCCTGAATAGGCATCGAAACGGTTGAAAAAGCCCGAAACGGTCCCGAAATGGTCGTTCATTACTCTCAAAATGATTCCCAAATATGCTCAAAGTGGACCTAAAATAGTCAAGAAACAAGCGCTGAAATTTTTCTAAAAAGTCCTGAACAAAACTCGAAATGGTCCCGAAACAGTGACAAAGTGCTCCTCAAATAGTCATGAACTATTCCTGAAATAGTAAAGAACGGGTTCTGAAATGATCCCGAACTGGCCCTAAATTTCGCGAACCACACCTAAAAGGGTTCTGAAGTAACCCTGAACAACTCGAGAACTTGCACGCACCTCTATCACTCACCTACAGCGGATTGTCTCTAACTCGCTTTTAAAAATGCTTGTTACTCGTGCTTATGGGGTGGCCAACTCTGTTCTAAAAGCTCCTTCGGTTAATCTACTGATGGCTATAGCCACGCATAATCGTTCTTGGCGGAGTTTACAGATACGTTTCGCAAAGTAAATAATTTTTTTTCAGCATTTTAGCAAATTTGATGACCCATTTAATGGGTTTATAAGCCGAGAACAGCTTTGCAAAATGCTTAATGCCAACAATGTGTGACGCATAGCATTGCAAAAATTAAGCTACCAAAACTCGAAATGCATATTGGATTTTTTGCAACCAAATTTGGTAAATGTTTTTTTTTCTTATGCAATTGAATTGTAAACGGAAACTTAACCAAAGAGACACAGTGAAATTTTCGCTCACCGTTGAGCAGGCAACGCACGCACCAGTCGCCAGGTAAGCGCGCGACTTGCTATAGGCTACTTGTAATTTTGTCGAACTGCATTTTTTTGTGTTCATTCACAAACGGTATGGTCGGTTGGAACACGCGCATGCGTAAGTGAGAGTTTTTTTTCGTGGCAACGATTGACTGATACGTATAACCTTTTTCATTGTAAAAACAACAGCAATAAAATGGTAAACGTTAATTTGTATCGTTATAGCGCGAACGTGCGTGTTTCTCATGTCAAAAGGAAAAAAAAAGTTTGAGCCGGCGGTGCTGGTAAATTTCTTGTATCGAACGTGCCAAAATTGTTTATTTTTTTTTTTCTTATTTGCGTTTTAGACTGCTTATGCTGTAATTTGTATTGAGATGGCAGATCAGCTTTGTCTGACAATTAGAAATGTAAAACACGTTGCGAGTGGCTGAATACCGCGACGCTGGAAATAAGGACAGAAGAAATTGCCAATTACCAGAAAATATTAATTACAACTCAAAGCACAAATTTTCGTCTTTCGCATTTATCTTAATTGGATGGTGAAAGATCAATGCGTTTCGATGCGTTGATACACAATAATTTTTATTCG